TAGTTTTTTTCTTTCCATTATGTTATCCCAATCTCATGACTTGATTGCGGATTTGGCAGGTTTATCCAAGTAAAAAAAAAAAACTAAAAAGATCTTATTTGAAAAACCAAGGCCACATAAGAATGTGATTTTTAAATTTTTTTTTATTTAAAAAATATTAAAATAATATTTTTTTTATTTTTTAAAAAATATTTTTGACATTAATATATTAAAATAATCTAAAAATAAAAAAAATATTTTAAAATAAAAAAATATTTTAAAAAAAATATTTTTTAAAACATAAAAATATACATCACAAACAGAATGTAACATTTAAGAGTATTGTCATAGTTTTCAGTCTTTTCAGTAATGGAAGATCTACGTGCCAGAAAGCAATCTCCAACAGTCCATGCGGTTTCTGACGAAGCAAAACATTTGGTGGTGCATCGTTGCTAGGGATACGTCTCCGTCCGGCCGACCTTTCTTTTTAACCTTAATCTTAGAGATAGACTCCACCTTGCGGGAAAAAGAAAATATTTAAAAGAGAGAAGAAAGAGTTAAACTGTATTGTATTTCAGTTTAAGGGTTGAGAACAACCCTTGTATTGTTTCCTGTCAAAAGCCTTTTTCCAGGCTAGCTGATCCACTAGATCTCAAAAGCATTTCAGCTGTCTCATCATCTCCTTTTGATGTGCGTTTCTTGCGTGTGAAATTGTAGTGGGGAACCATGCACATACCTCCCACTGCATTGCGTGCGTGCTTGGTACGAGTGGAGTTTTTATATTGACGGGCCAGGAACCATCCTTGTTTTGTTCTAATTCTACTCTTTTTTCTCATCACTTTGATCTTTCTGAGTTCGACGGTATGATTTCTAGCTATGTGTGCTGGTTTGTCTACCTTATTTTAGTTTTATTCTGATGGTGGAAGTGGATCTTTGTGGAAGCAAGCTAATTCCTCCATTTTGGTTTTACTTTTATTATTCCTGATGGTTTCTTTATGATTTACCTTCCTTTTCTGAACTTCAAATTAATCGCCTGCTTCTGATAGATTGCATCAGTCTCTGCCCTCTGGCTATTCTAAAGCATCCTCAGTCACCGTGAGTTCTTTTTTATTTGAAGCAATTTGCACGCACCGCATGCAATCATTACTTAAATTTATGGAAGTGGATCTATCGGTTTTTGCAGGGAATTCAGAAATGCTGTTGTTTATGAGAACCCTTTTTTTTATTATTGGAGGTGTATAAATTCAGTTGTATTCTTATAGACTCTTATTTTGCTCTGAACTCATTTGTTTTTTATTGAGCAGGTTGCTAACATTGAATCTGAGACAATCTTGGGTTGCTGCTATGGGGCTCTGGAATCTGTTTAGTGTTGCACTCATGCCAGTTCTGAATGTACTCCTGATCACTGCCGTCGGAGTATTTCTCGCAATCCAGCGTGTGGATATCTTGGGGGCGGATGCTCGAAAGCATTTGAATAATGTCAGTAACAATATATTAGCAGCATTTGGATTCAGAACAGAGAATAAGATTTACAAACTTCATTTTTAGAAATTTATAAATATATACTTTTAGTCAAAATTTCAACAACATAATATGATGAATCACTTTAGATGTAAGCCAATTAATTAACAAAAAAACCTAGAAGAACAGGTGTTTTTACTGTCCTTTAACTCGCGAAACACTATTCTATTTTATTTTATTTTTGCCTTTGTTTGTTTTAAAAAATTTAATTTATTGAAGATTATGTTTTATATTTATTACTATTTATTTTTTATATGTTATCTAACTCTCATGATTATCTTACATGATTATCTTACAGATTTAATCAGTTGATTCAAGTTTTTTGTAATTATTATTTTTTATAATTTTATTTTTTAACATTTAGTTGATTAAAAATATAGGTTCTATGATTTGTTTTGATTTTGTTTTCGATGAGATTATCTTATGATTTTTTTATATTTACTTTCTACAAGATTATTCTACTCTAATGAATTTTACAAATTAACTTGAGTAGCCTAGTAATTTAAATTGCCCTTTTAATATTTATTTATTTTTCTAATTTCATCATTCAATAATATATTGTTTTAATTTTACTTTATATGAGGTTATTTAATTTCATGACCTGAATTACTTGTTTGATAGGTTAACTAGGATTGACTTGGGCTATTTTTTCAGTTTATTTTTTATGAGGTTTTCGTGGTCTCATGATATGAGTCATGGGTTTTGTGAGTTAATCCATATTGACTTTGGTTATTTTTTTGTTATTTTTTTAATTATTTTTCAATACCAAGTTGATTGTGAAATAAACTATATAATTTATTTTAATTGATCTTGATTTTACGAATTAGATTGTGAGTTTGGCAGGTTAACTCTGATCGTTTTTATATCTTTTTTTCTATTTTTTTTAATTTTATCCTTCAATATTAAGTTTATTGAGAATTAAGATTCATAATTTATTTCAAATTTCTTTATATTGTGTTATTATAATCTCATGATCTAGATCATGAATTTGATAGGTTAACTCAGGTTTAATAAGGTTAATTGAGTATGTTATTATCTCAATATTTAAATAATAAAATTATCTTGAATTTTTTTAGTCAAATTATATTTTCATTGATCGTTTTAATTGTTTGGAGTTTGCCAAAATAATCGGATTTCATTGGCTTAATCCCCACTTACATTGTTTTTTCTACTAAAAAAATATTAGTAAAATCTAAATATTTTTTTATATTAAAGAAAAAATAATCTTACTCTCAGCATAGCATTGACAACGATTCAGTGCATGCTAGAGAATTTCCCCGGGGCATCATGACATATTTTCATACTGTTCGAAATGAACGGTTGATTATTGAGTCTAATGATCAATTCGTTTTGAAGTTCTGTGAAACATCACTTATTGGCAGCATCTTGGCAACATACACAACATTAAGAAGCTTGCCTGAGCTGTGAGTTCCTCTGGTCAAATTTCCTGGGCCTATTTTCTTTCGGTGTGGTGTGCGTGCGTGTGTGTGTATTCCCTTCCTGCTATTTCCCTAAATCCAACTTTTTTCGAATTTTGCAGGTGGTTCCTGCTAAATGTTCTCATTACCTTCGTCATTGGCTCGGTGCTTGGATGGATACTTGTAAAAATCACCAAAGCTCCTAAAGGTCTTCGAGGAGTGATCATGGGATGTTGTGCTGCCGGTAGGTTTTATTATTTTGGCTAATGGCAGTTGTGTGTATGTGTGTGTGTATCTACAAATTTTTGGTGTCCTTTCTGGATTATAGTTTTGCAAAAAAAATATTTGTTGATCCACCTTTTGAAATAAGAAAGCAGTAGTTTAATTATTCATTGGCATTGAGCATCAGTAGTTTAATCAACTTAATCAGGTTCTGATCGTATTCACTTCGAATCAAAGTTGCTCTCACAATGTGTAATTGCTATTTAAGATTTCTTGCCGGATATTCTTCCCATGCCAATGAGGTTATCTACTTCGTTGGCTTGTCATCCTTCAAAGCAAACAAGCAAGTTTTTGCATATTCTCCCTACTCTGTTCTGTCCTGCTCTCCTTTTTTCCCCTTCCAAGACATGCAGACCATCCCACCTTAGAGAAGAGGCAGACATTCTCCTTCCTGGTAATGAAATGAATATAAATGAATGCGAACCAATCTTGCTATCCATCTCACACCTTATGCTCTGATGAAACACTTTGGAAGCTCTAATCAAATTATAAGTGTCTATATATCACACGTCAAATTCCTTCTGTCATTTTTAGATTGAACAACTTCCTCGTTACTTACACCTTGTTATTCGTTGAAGACTTTCTATACATGCTGCCATTTGCTCCGCAGCGGTCTTTTTTTGATAGTATCATGTGCAACTAATCTTGACAGGGTTGATTGGATAACGCCTAAAACCTATCTGTCAAGAAGTTTTCAATCCACTTCTTCCATCTTATCTGGCTTTTCCTTAATAGAGGAAGATCATACTAGATGCTAGTGTAGAGCGATGGAATAAAAGAGAATAAGAAGGGAGGGAAATCAAACACCCACATAACACAATAATTTACATGTTTAAGAATAGTTCTGTTGGACAGCACATCCACCAACCCTGGAGTTAGTGAGAATATATACATACATCCACAAATGGGTCAGACTGTGAGCCCAAGTAAATGAAAGAAAAACCAGGCTCTACGATGATGGCTGCAGCAGCACTATATTTGTCTCAATGAGCCAATATCAAGAACCAATGCTCCATGCTTTCATTATATTTTGATCTTTTATTCTTGAATTCTAGTTTATGATAGGTGTTGATGTGAACAGGAAACCTGGGCAACATGCTTGTAATTGTTCTAGCTGTCTGTAAAGAAAAAGGCAGTCCATTTGGAGTTTCCGTTCTTCTCGTAATTGTTCTAGCTGTCTGCAAAGAAAAAGGCAGTCCATTTGGAGTTTCCGATGTCTGTACCGGCAATGGAATGGCATATGTTTCACTCTCTATGGCAGTATGCCATTGCACTTTCTAACTTGAATTTCATCCAAAAGTTGTAATTGCTTAAACTTCTTTGTAGTTTTTTCTTTGATTTCAGATTGGATCCTTGTACATCTGGTCATATGTGTACAATATTGTGCGTATATATTCAAGTAAAGATTCTGATGAAGCCAAACCAGATGTCGTACAGGAGGGTGCAGAGTCTGCTGAAGAAAAAAATGAATCTGCAAAGTGTCGCACAGGGCCCCCACTTCCTTCAGAAGATCCCTCACTTGGTGAGAGTCAGCACTTGGAGCTTAATTGTTCAGTGTCACAGGAGAAGGCAAAGGTTGTTTGAACCTCAATATAATATCTTCTTTTCTCTATTCACGCACTTCTCTCTTTCCTTGTATTGTTCATGTTCATTATGGGCACATTTTTGCTTTGAAGGTTTCACATGATCTTATCATTGGCGGCATTTTTTTTTTTCCTTTCCTCTTTCTTCATTGAATAAAATATCATCATCTAACCTATCAATGTTTCTTGACAGGTGCCATTTCCAGAAAACATCAAGAGAAGCTTCAATGTTTCTTGACAGGCGCCATTTCCAGAAAACATCAAGAGAAGCTTTCTAAAGTTCATAAAGAAACCCAGTATAAGGAGATTGTTTGCACCGGCAATTATTGGAGCGGTATGCTTACGGCAAGTTCTAATTTTGGGAAGTTACTATACATATAGGATCAAATCCCTTGCATGAAAAAATTCTCTCTCCAACATTGCCATGAAACAGGCATTAGCAAGCAGCTTGTAGATTTTAGTCAGATTTTTTTCCCACGTTAGTTTCCTGGCCACGTTAAAATATTTGACATTTATAGATCAAAACATAACTAACATGCCACATTAAGATCCAGTGTTGATGTGAGGATTGATCCCCCTTGTTGTTCTATTTATAGATTGTCGGATTGATGATTGGTATCATCCCTCCATTCAGAAAAGTACTAATTGGTGATAGCGCTCCTCTTCATGCGGTTGTAGACTCTGCAGACATGGTTGGGTGAGTATCCTGTCTTTGATGATATGAAAATTCCCAAGAAAATTAACAAAAATATTTACTTTTATTTTCAGCTAACTAATTTCCCTAGCATTCTTTCATGTTTGCAGGAAGGCAGCCATTCCAATCATGAATTTGATTTGGGGAGCAAATCTTCTGAAGGGTAAGCGTTTTTGAATCCCAACTGGCTTGCCTTCTATCACTATAGTTGAATTGTTGAAAGCATGGAATAATTATCGCTGTCGATGTTCTCAGGTTTGAAAGGCTCGAAGGTGCCACTCTTGGTGATTATTAGTATAGTGGCCATTAGGTATATAATTTTGCCGATTTTGGGAGTAGTTATCATTAAATATGCAATCCATTTTGGCTTGGTGCGCTCAGATCCATTATATCAGCTTGTTCTTCTCCTCCAGTTTGCACTTCCTCCAGCAAACAGCGTGGGTGTGTTAATTGTCATTGATGAATTATATACCCTTATTACAAGATCCCCACAGAGCTCAACCATGTCTATGCACGTTTGGGATGAATTTGCTCCTAACTTGTTCTTTCGGCACCGATTTGGCAGGTACAATGAGCCAGTTGTTTGGAGTTGGATAAGCGAATGCTCTGTGATCATGCTATGGACCAATGCCTTGGCCACAGTCTCGCTGACCGTTTGGTCAACATTCTTCATCTGGTGTGTTAGATAAACGTGCCGTGCCTCTATGATCAAGGGCGGAGGCAATGCAAAGGTTTGGGTGGGCTCCACTTCATGTTAAGATTTTATTAATATTTTAATTAGTTTTATATAAAAAATTTGTAATTTTTTATTGAGTTATTAAAAAATTCTAAAAATTTATGTGGAATCTTTTAATATGATGCTTTAATTTGGTTTAAAATTTTAAAATTTTTGAAGAAATTCATAAATTTGATAAAAAATCATAATTTAATCAGTTTTATGTTATTGGGTATAATTTTCAATCTGACCATCAGATTAAGTTAAAATTTTACGAGAGATATTAAAATATATTAAATAAAATCTGGATAAAATTTTAGGATGAACAGAGTTTGATAGTGTTAATAAAAAAAAATGTCAAATAAAAACAAAACTACTCATTAAGAGTAAAATAATTATTTGCTATTAAAAAATAAAAAAAATCAATTTTTCTTTTCTTTTATATGTTGTCGAGTGGTAGAAGCAAAATAGAAAAATAAAAAAAAAGGCGAGAGAGAAAAAGTAAGGGAAAAACAAAAAAAAATCCAAAAAAAAAAATGAGAGAATAACCTTATAAACTTACAAAGTTCAACTTATAAAATACTAACCTAGGAAAGAATCAGGTAAAGAATGAGGAATTGAGAAAGAGAAAAAAATTAATTATTTTATTTTTCAATTGACATGAGATTGGTATTTTATCCTAATTGAGAGATGGTTACAATTGATATTTTATCCTAATTGAGAGATGGTTACAATATTGATTCAAATTTGATTATAGATGAATTATATTTTACAAAATATTGAAATATATAACTTCAATAATGAGTTTATTTTTATTTTCACTTTTATTTTATATACTTTTCAATTTATTTTTTAATATTTTAGATAGTATATTTGAATTAAAACATTACTGTTAATTTTAAAAATTTATGTGCATAAAATAATAATTTATCTTGAAAAAATTTATATATTTATTTAATAGTTCATAGCAAGAAAAATCCCTAACTCCGCACTTGTCTATCGTTACTTTCAACATGAAAATCTGGGCAATGCATTATATGCTAGCTTAGATACTCCATTAAATATTTCTGCAAATGCAAATGTAGATGAAGAAAGAATCCATTGCACATGCATAACGGGAATAGGGATCCTGGGGCTCAAGGTGTATCTATAATGTCGATGATTTTGAAATGGCTTTTGTCATTGTTCTTCGCACTTTTGGTCAATGCATTGGTTTCAGCCCCGAATTTGCATCAGAACCTGGTTCCTCAAGTCCGTTTCTGGGCAAAGTCTAAAATACCGGTATGTAAGATAGCAAAACGACCCTCTAGATTCAATTCCAGTGGTCCTATGGTCATTGCTCTGGAGGCTATATATGCATGCAGGCAACCGATTTTCTTTACTTGTGAGAATAACGATGGATAGTAAATCTGAATACTTGGGTGAATAAGAATGCACAATTCCTTAAAGCATACAGATCTCTTAGCTAAGTTTACATTAACTATCTGCCGCAATATGAACGGAACGGCCATGCCTGTCTTGGCATGCTAGCATATATAGTAGTAGCCGCCACAAGGGTAGTGGAGCGTAAGCATGGTGGGGTGGTGTGTCAAATCTCACCATCCCATAGATCTTCAATTGTCTTATAAGGACTAGTTGAATCGTTAACAAGAAATTCTCCTCTCATGATCTTCCATTCCTCCAGTTTCTCAATGTCAGTGAGATCTTGATCATCCAGTTTTACATTCAAGGCCTCCATGTTTTCCTTCAACCTCTTCTGATTAAAACTCTTCACTATCATGCTTGATCCCTTTGACAGTCCCCACTGTAACGCCACCTTCAAAGATTCATGACGAAAGCTTGTCGTCAGAGGCCCATAATGAATGAGAGCAGAATTCATTTATTATGATAGATTTGTGGGCTTTACCTGAGCTGGGGTTGTCTTGTGCTTGCGAGAGATGGACTGTATTATTGGATTTTCAACCACGGCGGTGGTTCCCCATGCATTTCCTGGGCCACCAAGTGGCGAATAAGCACTTACATGGATATTGTAGTCCGCACAAAAATCTCTTAGTGTTCTTTGCCTCCACATTGGATGCATTTCCACCTGCATTCAATTCAATATTCGATTAAAAAAACATAGGATTACTATGCTATGAAATTAAAGAAAGAAAACACACCTTATGTGGTCATCAAATAAGAGAAGAGATGGTTTATCTCGTTTGGAGGGCATTTATGTTTACGTGGCTTCTTGCAGTTGACTTTCCTCACACATTGTTTTTAGTATTATTATTTTTCCACAATTAGCTGTACATATAATCATAAATAAGCTTTTTTATAATTGTAGATTGATTGAGAGTATGGTAGTGTTTTTAAAAGTATTTTTTATTTAAAAATATATTAAAATAATATTTTTTTTATTTTTAGATATTATTTTAGATATCAGGATTCAAAATGATATAAAAATATAAAAAATTAATTATCAAAATGATATAAAAATATGAAAAATTAATTTAAATAAAAAAATTTAAAATTTGTTAAAAATGTAATTTCAATTGCTATAAAAATAATACATAAATGATAAAAAAAAATATGATTTTACATGTTGATTTCAGCGGTTTCTTTATATAAAGAAATTTGACTTCAATAATTTAACCTAACTCACAAACTTGACAAAACCAGTTTTGAATTATTTTGATGTTCTTTGTCGTCGGTTTTCTCAGTGAAGAAAAAACTAAAATAAACAAGAAGCCCCCCAATTGTCCTCTCTACTGATTGTAATTAATTAATTGTTTCTCATTTGAATATTAATTAACTTAATTAGTTTCTTCTAACACCAAAATTCCAAGAATAAGTTTGCTAAAGAAAATCTCCAAAGCCGCTCAAGACAGTTAAACTGCTCACGCGTTTCTTTTACAGGGTACCTGATTGACAGCTGGAGGTACTGAGGCAAAATCCAATAAGCTTTGGATCTTCTTGCTGGAGAAATTGCTGACGCCAATGCACCTACACAATCCCAAGTCCAAACATTTTTCCATGCCGGCCCATGTGGACTCAAGGTCTAACGGCTCAAAGTCATCTTCAGGAGGCACGGCACAGTCATTCCAAGGCTTCAGCTTCACTGGCCAATGCACTAGATACATGTCCAAATATTCCATGCTCATGTTCCTATAACAAGAAGCAAAAGCACTTGAAAACCCAAAAAGAACCTAGTCGAATATTTTCAAGATCCTCATCGATCCCCTGCAATATTAGAGGCCGCCTATGATGTTATTCTACATTTTGTTTGCACTAGCTAGATCTATATATATATATAATGAGAGATTCGATATGATCTTGGTTCAAAATAGATTAGACCCAAAAGTCCCATCACCCACATGCAGCTAAAGCTAGATTTGCGTATATACCTAATGAATTCAATTTCAGTGAAGATTTAACAAGATGGGAACTTCACTTGATTAAAGTACTATAGGGTACTAGTCAAAAGGAGATGAGAACCTAATGCATGGAACCCAGCTCTCAAGGATGGCTATGTGCTCCTACTTACTTCAGAGTTTGCCTGAGTGCTGAGACAGGATCATGATGATCACTCCCCCACAGTTTAGATGTAACAAAAATCCCCTCTCTGTCTACTGTTTGATCAATAATCGCTTCTGTTAAAGCATGCCCCACAGCCGGCTCAGAACCATAAATCTTTGCTGTGTCAAAATGCCTGTAACCCATCTGCAATGCCACAAACCAACAAGTTTTCGATATTTCACGCAAAAATATTGGCAACCAGAACAAAAAGCTTTTACTCCGGTGTTTGAATGGATACTGGGAAGAATTTATATGCAAGCAAACTGTCCATCTGGGTAATTAATTACTCAAAACCTATATACGTAGGCATGCATGAAGAGGTAGTTAAGCCATTGAAGTCCAAAATTAATGCTCTAATCAAATGGGTTCAGCCATGCTTTATTTAGTGCAATCATTAGTGCTCCTGTGGCTATCAGAGATGGACTGCAACAATGCACTGCACTTGAAATGAAAAGATAGGAAGAGCCAGAAAAAACAGATTGAAGGCTGCAGGAAAGGAAAGAATAAAGGGACAGGATATGCGCGCGCGCGCGCGGAATGTACCTTGAGTGCCATATCGATGGCCAGCTCTGTCGTCTGCCTATCATGAGGGTAGGAATAAGTCCCCAGTCCCAGGGCTGGCATGTTAATGCCGCAATTCAGACGCACTTCGTTGTTCATCATCTCTATCTCCTCTCTCTTTCTGTTCTTCGTTAACTCACAATGGGAGTTTGGACCCCTCTTCCCCCGTATATATACACACCCCAAGTCAACTTCATTGATAGAAATATGATTTCTTTATGTATGATGACTTCATTTATCCCAACTCATTCGAGAGAGCTTACATATGTAGGAATAAAATATGTTACTTACACAGCACTGTACATTATTTGTTGCATCTATTAGTTTGTGATTAATATGCACGTTACAAAGATATATACTAATTAATTAACAAGAACATCAAAGTCCTTGAATTTCGTTGTAGGACGTGATTATTCATTTTTCTTTCAAAATTATTGGTGTTCCCAGAACCTAATGCTTTATATATATATAGCTTTTATAGTTGTTTATTTTAACACCTTTTCTCAAATAAAAAAACCAAATATATATACACATATAGCTTTTATAGTTGTTTATTTTAACACCTTTTCAAAATCAACAAAGCCTACTGAACTTAAAAATATTGTAAACTTAATTATTTGAAGGAGGTTTTTGTTTTAATTAGGAAGAAGTTACAAAATCCTAGGTGATTTATCCAATGCCTTTGGAAAAACCCAAAGCCATCCCCTCTTTTTAACAACATACATAATTAATATACATTAGTAATTAATTATTAATATTATAAGAGAGGAGAAGCCAAACTTACTACTGGTTGGGGGAAATGATTTATATCTTCACCGCATAAAAAATGAAGGGCTAATTTTGAGCACCCCACCTCTTACATGAAGTATAAATAAGTTCAATTCCTAATACTTGTTGAAAATTGAACTCGGTGATCTCTTAGGGTGGCATGCTAACAATGCACCAAGGGCTCATTGATTTGGATTAACATGTTTTTGGAACAATATTTACGTAATTTTCTTAATATATTGTTACATAATTTTTCATAACGGATACAACATTTTCAAAGAAAAAAAATAACACTTTATAATCATATATTTGCGGCATATATGAGATAGGAACAATAATGAACCTTGAAAAAGAGATACAAGAAATTAAGATGTAACGATGATTATGGATATAACAACTTTAAAATAAAGCATTTTGGATGGAACATATATTTGAACAAAAAAGCTTGAAGATGAACAATGACTCAAAAATATTTAAGAAGAAATATCTTAATTAGATATATCACTAGATATATCTAGTAGGTCAACCTACACTACAGGAATATTTTACCAATATAAAAAAAATATTCATACAATATTAATATTTAAAAAAATAAAAAAAATTATACACATTAAATTAATAATAATTATGTGACATATAAAGCTTGTATAAAGAGAGGATGTTGAGATACTTCAATTATTATCCTAGAAGTAAGGTTTCGGCTATCGGAGAGTTTCACACATGTTATTCAAATTTTTCAAATTTTGATGAGTATTGTTTATGCATTTTTAGTTTTTTTTTTTAAATCCACTCATTTATTAAATTACTTGTTTTTTTAATGACATCCAATAATTATCAAATAATCAAATAAAAAAACCTTAAATTAAAGGAAAAACTTTTTAAATTTCACTATGGGAAATAGAAATTTGTCCATCAAGAACAGAATATTAATTTCACTGTGGAAATTTACAATGAAATATGATTGCATATTTAGTGCATCCCCAAGGTCTTTTAGCTTTTGGTATATTGATTAAAATCTAGATTCTATTCATTATCACACAATTACAACTAATTACTCGTTCTGGTATGCGTTTGGAATACTTTTCTAACAAAAACAAATGTGTAATATATATAGTGTTACAATTATTATTAAAAAGAATAATAAATAAATATGGATCACTATATATTTGAAAACTGTTGATCATGCCCCCTGGTGATTAATAGCCTATGAGAATCTAGATTGCCTTTGTATTAAGACGTATAACAGGAACAGTATCGATAGGATTTAGTCTTGATTATCTGGACTTGTTTTGATTCTGCCTGCACTTAACTGCGTTTTGAAGACAAATCAGCAATATAAATCACCGTTTTACTAGCTAGGGTTCGTTATTCGGTGTAGCATATCACAAGGCAAGGGATTTTCCATGTCTCTTGGGATTTTATTAGATGGCCCAATCCATCATCTAAAGAGATCGGTGGCCTCCATGGAATCTTCAAGAATTCCTTACGCGCTTATTCTCTTCATAATTGTATTTATCGCCACCCCCCCTCCGTCTCCATCTCCACCTCCCCCCTCCCCCCCTCATGTGTCATCAAAACTGTTTACAGTCTGCAACCTCAATTAATCCTCTTTAATTAATCGGTTTTGTTGACTTTGCCCTTTCTTGGAACAGCGTTTGTCCCTTCGTACTCTATAAACTATGATCAAAACAACTGTACTGTTGACATTAATACATGTCAACCACCTCTTAATTATTTCTGAACTGCAAGTCAAGCTACACTCAATTCTCAAATAATTCTTAAATCACGAGTCAAAACAATTTTCCTACACTCCCAGTTGACTTTATGATCAGAGGTCAAATCAGGCCTCACCTTGTTGCTTCTAATGCATGCACTTAGCAATTGGTCGGCAATTCTTTTTTCTGCGAAAGAAATAACAACAGCATAAAATCATGGAAAGATCTTTTCTTCCTCGTATAAACTAACACCGGAGAATGAAACAAGCTGTGCGCGCTTAAAAAAACAATAAGTCGGACCTTCAAGTTCTTTCTGTTCGTATAATCCTATGCACTATCTCGTTCTCAACTCCTATCCCTCCATAAATTAATTACATGCTATGACTTCCAAATTTTGAATCTCACCTTCGAGCTTCAGGGGATTTCCTTTTTTTCTTCTCTTTAATTATATATGGTCGAGTATTTTAGAAAGCCTGGCGGTTTTAAATAGAATATTGAATATGCAGTCGCCTACTTAATGTTATATATGAAGGCCACCCTCAGCTGGACCCAGTGCAAATTGGTGGAAGTTGATGAAGTTTTTAATAATTAAGAAAAAGAAAGTAAGATAGAAATGCTATATATATAATCAGTTTCATCGTAGAAGTCTATCGAATTTCTGCTGTTTATGTGACAAGCTCACATGTTTGGGTTTTGCCTATAAATTTGTATGAAAATAATTTCATGTTATTTTAAAATTAATTTCAACATCAAACCTGCAGCCCAATTATAATTAGCTCCTAATCGTGGAGAGTATATTGAAAAGGCTATGAAGCCAATTGTCAAAGGCGTGGGGGTGTTTATCTTAAAGCTGGCACTGTTCATACACACAAAAAAAACATTGTAGATGGTAATGTATTTTTTTTTTATAACTCAATTTTGTCCTCATGCAAAATAACACAAAACACTATTTATTTTGTTCCTCAATCTTTAAAATAATACAATATAAACAATTTAGATCCCCTTACATTTTAAAAACTCAATTTTAATACACAAATTTATTTGTGTTATTTTTCTATCCTTCATTAAGGATAGGAGATAAAGGTTGTTGGATTCTGATAATTAGAGATAAAATCACGTTCACTTTATTTTCGTCTACTAAAATGAATTTTCTTGGTATCCACATATTCCATGAAATAAAAGAGGTTTTATGGTGGTTATTTAAAACTTTGATATCGCATGAAAAAACATATCTGAACTAAAAAAGACAACTAAATCAATTTAATTTTGGTTTTTGAACTATTTTTGGAATTTTTTTTAGTTGATAAAATGGTTTAGGGTATTATAAGAATGTTAGTGAGGTGTTTTTAGTTTGAAATAGCTTGAAAATTGATTTTTTTCTAAAAATCTAGCAACTTAATTCTTTGGCCACCAGTGTGGTACCTGATATTTGAGCTTACAGACAACATTTATTTGCCTTGATGGATGATGTGTTGGTAGTTTTTAAATATCATCTATCCTTTTAGAAAATTAAAAAAAAAAAAAAAGCACAGATCTGCTAGTGCTCCTAGCTCTTCATTTCAATAACCCAGTCTATAAACTTGCAAGTTTAGACTCTTTTTGATTTTTTTAGGTTAAATATAAATTTAAAAAGAAAAATACTAAACTTGATTGAGTTCATAATCTAGGTTACAAGTTTGATAAGTTAAGTCATAGCAACTAGGTAGTATTTTTTTTTATATTGCTTTTTTTAATAATATCTTTTTTTTAATAATTTTTAAATTAATATCTCTCATTTGTGATTTTTTTTTTTTTTGCTTATTTAGCCCTTTTTATAAATATTGTTTCTTGATGGTGTTGTGTGTTTTTAATTTTTAAAAAGATTATTTTAATTTATCTATAATTTTTTGTCTTTAGCATACAAGAACTTTATTTTTGAAAATAAAACTTATTTATTTTATGATAATATTTCTGATATGTGCAATCTTGCATCATATTTTTTTTACTTTTATTTTATTTAATTAATTTAATATGTGTGTTTATTTTAACTATCATTTGATTGAATAAAAAATAAATTTTGATAAACAAATTTAGTAAACACAATTAAGTAAATGCTTCATCTTACAAGATTAAATATCCTAATATATAATTATTTTTTGATTTTTCAAGTTTTATTTTTAGTAATCATTACATATTTTATTTCTGTTTATTAACACATATAATTCTTAATTAATTTGGTTAATGAACTTTTCAATTTACACTTAATTTTTTTATATAAAAGATGCATTGAAAATAGCCTATAATATATATATATATATATATAGATGTAGATGGTAATGTATTTTTTTTTTATAACTCAATTTTGTCCTCATGCAAAATAACACAAAACACTATTTATTTTGGTCCTCGATCTTTAAAATAATACAATATATACAATTTAGATCCCCTTACATTTTAAAAATTCAATTTTAATATACAAATTTATTTGTGTTATTTTTCTATCCTTCATCAAGGAGAGTAGATAAGGGTTGTTGGATTCTGACAATGAAAGATAAAATCACCGTTCACTTTATTTTCATCTACTAAAATTAATTTTAATTTTTGGTATCCATAGATTTCATGAGATGAGAAAGGTTTCATGGTAATTATTTAAAGTTTCGATG